TCGTGCAACCAACCTCTCTCTCTTCTCTGCGTCTGAGCTGTGTTATAACTCGTGGTGGAAAAAAAGACGAAAGGTGACTCGTGCCGTCATGTGCCTGCCGGGAGCGACCAGTTCACAAGTGTTAACTCTTAATCTGTTTCTTTTCTTCTGTGCTGGTTTTTCTTTTTGGAAAACCACCACTTCCATACTCTTTCTCTCTCTCTCCCCTCTCTATCTCTCCAATGCTCGCTCTCTCTTCTCCCTACTCTCTCTCTCTCTCTCTCTCTCTCTCTCTCTCTCCTCTCTCTCCTCTCTCTCTCTCTCTCTCTCTCTCTCTCTCTCTCTCTTCTCTCTCTCTCTCTCTCTCTCTCCCCTTCTCCCTTCTCCCTTCTCCCTTCTCCCTTCTCCCTACTCCCTACTCCCTACTTCCTACTCACTCACTCACTCACTCTCCCTCTCTGTTTTTTCTGTGCCTTCGTTATCCTTGGTTTGAATACATCTCTAAAGTAAATAGCATGCTCTGTGTCTTTGCGTTTGTATTTTAACGCTTTTCCCTCTGGTACCATTCTTAAAATCATCTTAATGGCGCAAAACCTCTTATAAACCCTTTAAATGTCGCTGTGAAGCAGTTACGATACACTAACGCAATACTTACAACGCGGCAATGATGACAGAGGAAACCGCATGTCATCAACACATAACAAGAGGACGTAAACAAAAACTCTAAAAAGGAGAAAAAAAGAGAAGGAAAAAAATCAGCTTCAATTGTCTAATTCCTTCTCAATTTTTAAAAATCCTACTTCATACTCTTCCTCTTATTCCTTTTTTCTTATCTGCTTATCCTTCCCTTTCTCTCTCTCTTGCTTCTTTCAACTTCTACTGATTTTCCATCCGTCTTTCTCACATCACCCGCCGGATAAGATGCAAAACATCAACATGCAAGTGCACATCAAACACCGCTTTTCTCGCAATGCAAGTGAACATCAAAACACCTTTTCTCACGCATGCAAGTGGCATCAAACAGACCTTCTTCTCGTGCAAGTGCACATCAAAACACGCCTTTTCTCTCAAATGCAAGTGCACATCAAAACACCCTTTTGCTGCACATGCAAGTGCAGCATCAAACACCCTTTTTCGCATGGCAAGTGCACATCAAAACACCCTTTTTCTCGCATGCAAGTGCACTGCAACATCAAAAACACCCCTTTTCTCACATGTAAGTGCACATCAAAAACACCTTTTCTCACATGCAAGTGTACATCAAAACCCTTTTTCTCACATGCAAGTGGCACATCAAAAACCCTTTTCTCACATGCAAGTGGACATCAAAACACCCTTTTCTCACATGCAAGTGCACATCAAAAAACCCTTTTCTCGCATGCAAGTGCACATCAAAACACCCTTTTCTCCCATGCAAGTGCACATCAAAACACCCTTTTCTCACATGCAAGTGCACACCAAAACACCCTTTTCTCGCATGCAAGTGCACATCAAAACCCTTTTCTCACATGCAAGTGCACATCAAAACACCCTTTTCTCCCATGCAAGTGCACATCAAAACACCCTTTTCTCACATGCAAGTGCACATCAAAACACCCTTTTCTCAATGCAAGTGCACATCAAAACACTTTTCTCACATGCAAGTGCACATCAAACACCCTTTTCTCATGCATGCAAGTGCAACATCAAAAACCCTTTTCTCACATGCAAGTGCACATCAAAACACCCTTTTCTCACATGCAAGTGCACATCAAAAAACCCTTTTCTCACATGCAAGTGCACATCAAACACCCCTTTTTCTCACATGCAAGTGCACATCAAAACACACCCTTTCTCTCACATGCAAGTGCACACCAAAACCCCTTTTCTCACATGCAAGTGCACATCAAAACACCCTTTTCTCGCATGCAAGTGCACATCAAAACACCCTTTTCTCACATGCAAGTGCACATCAAAACACCCTTTTTCCATGCAAGTGCAACATCAAACACCCTTTCTCGCATGCAAGTGCACATCAAAAATCACCCTTTTCTCACATGCAAGTGCACATAAAAACCCTTTTCTCACATGCAAGTGCACATCAAAACACCCTTTTCTCGCATGCAAGTGCACATCAAAAAAACCTTTTCTCTCATGCAAGTGCCTCACAAGCCTTTTTCTCACATGCAAGTGCAGCACCAAAACACCCTTTTCTCACTCGAGACAAGTGCAAGCATCAAAACACCTTTTCTCGGCATGGCAAGTTGCACAAAAAAATCAAAAGCACTCTTTTCTCAGCCATGCAAGGGCAGCATCAAGAACTCCCTTTTCTCGCATGCTAAGTGGGCACATCCAAACACCCTTTCTCGGCATAGCAAGAGTGCACATTCAAAACACCCTTTTCTCACATGCAAGTGCCGCATCAAACCCTTTTCTCACATGCAGTGCAGCATCAAAAAACATACTTTTTCTCGCATGCAGTGCCAGCATTCAAAAAACCTTTTCTCGCTCACGAGTGCAAGTGCACATCAAAAATCACCCTTTTCTCACATGCCAGTGGCACACCAAAACACCCTTTTCTGCGGCATGCAAGTGCAGCATCAAACCACCACTTTTCTCAGCTATGCAAGTGACGATCAAAACCTCTTTTCTGCACAAGTTGCAGTGCACATCAAAACACGCGCATTTTCTGGGCATGCAAGTGACACATCAAAACACCTTTTTCTCACATGGCTAAGGTGCACATCAAAAAACCCTTTTCTCTCATGCAAGTGCACACGAAAACACCTTTTCTCACTGCCAGTGCACACCAAAACAACCTTTTCTCGCATGCAAGTGCAGCATCCAACACGCCTTTTCTCGCATGCAGTGCAGCATCAAAAACACCTTTTTCTCGCATGCAAGTGCACATCAAAACACGGCTTTTTCTTCACATGCAAGTGCACATTCAGAAAGACCGCTTTTCTCGGCATGCTAAGTGCACGACCAACACCGGATGACCTTGTTCTGCACTGCAAGTGCACATCAAACCCCCTTTTTTTCACATGCACGTGCTAACATCAAACAACCGCGTGTTCTCGGCATGCGAAGTGCACATCAACAACCCTTTGCTCGCATGCAAGTGCACATCAAAACTACGCCTTTTTCTCACATGGCCAAGTGCACATCAAAACACCACTTTTCTCGCATGCAAGTGCACCATCAAAAACTGCCGCTTTGTCCTCACATGCAAGTGCACACAAGAAACAACCAGCCCTTTGTTCGCATGCAGTGCACATCAAAACACCGTTTGTCTCGCATGCAAGTGCAATCAAAAACACCCCTTTTCCTCACATGGCAGTGATCACAAAACACGCGGCTTTTTCGGCATGCAGAGCTGCACATCAAAACAATCCCTTTTCTCGGCATGCAAGTGCAATCAAAAACACGCCTTTTCTCACATGGGCAAGTGCATATAAACCAAACACCCTTTCTCGCATCAAGTGCACATCAAACACCTTTTCTCGCATTGCAAGTGCACATCAAAACCTTTTCTCGCATTGCAGTGCAGCATGCAAAACAACCCTTCTTGTCACATTGCAAGTGCACAAAACACCCTTTTCTCACATGCAAGTGGCAGCACCAAAACACCCTTTTTCACATGCAAGTGCACATCAAAACCCTTTTCTCAACATGCAAGTGCACAGTGCAAAAAACGCCTTTTCTCTCATGCAAGTGCCACTCAAAAACACCCTTTTCTCACATGCAATGGCAGCATGACCCAAAACATCTTTTCTCACATGCAAGTGCACACCAAAACAACCTATTTTCTCACATGCAAGTGCACATCAAACACCCTTTTCTCAGTGCAAGTGCACATCAAACACCCTTTTCTCGCATGCAAGTGCCACACCAAAAACGCTTTTCTCACATGCAAGTGCAACAAAAACCCTTTTCTCACAATGCAAGTGCACATCAAAACACCCTTTTCTCCACATCAAGTGCATCAAAAACCCTTTTCACCCATGCAAAGTGCACACCAAACACCCTTTTCTCACATGCAAGTGGCACATCCAAAACCCCCCTTTTCTCGCATGCAAGCTGCACATCAAAACACCCTTTTTGCAAGTGCATGTAAGCTGCACATCAAAACACCCTTTTCTCAACATGCAAGTGCACATCCAAAACCCCTTTTCTCGCATGCAAGTGCACATCAAAACACCCTTTTTCTCAAACATGCAAGTGCACATCAAACACCCTTTTCTCAACATGCAAGTGCCCACCCAAACAGACCCTTTTTTCTCACATGCAAGTGGCACACCAAAACACCCTTTCTCATGCAAGTGTACATAAAACCACCTTTTCTCACATGTCAAGTGCACACCAAAAACACCCTTTTCTGCACATGCAAGTGCCACATCAAAACACCTTTTCTCACATGCAAGTGCACATCAAAACACCCTTTCTCTCAGCATCAAGTGCAATCAAAACACCCTTTTCTCGCATGCAAGTGCACATCAAAACACCCTTTTCTCACATGCAAGTGCACATCAAAACACCCTTTTCTCACATGCAAAGTGCACATTCAAAAACGCATTTTTCTCGCATGCAAGTGCACATCAAAACACCCTTTTCTCACATGCAAGTGCACACCAAAACACCCTTTTTTTGCCAACCAAAAACCCCTTTTCTCAATGTGCACATAAAACACCCTTTTTCTCAATGCAAGTGCACATCCAAAACACCTTTTCTCGCATGCAAGTGCCACATCAACATCACATTCAAAACCTTTTTACATGCAAGTGCACATCAAAACACCCTTTTCTCGCATGCAAGTGCACATCAAAACACCCTTTTCTCACATGCAAGTGCACACCAAAACACCCTTTTCTCACATGCAAGTGCACATCAAAACACCCTTTTCTCACATGCAAGTGCACAGCAAAACACCCTTCTCTCGGCATGCAAGTTGCACATCAACACCCTTTTCTTTCAATGCAAGTGCACATCAAAACACGCTTTTCTCGCATGCAGCTTTCACGCAAGACGGGAGATCGCCAGGG